ATTGTATTAATACTTAATCATATAATATAGTCATACCTTCATCAAATATGAATTTGATGTCATATATTTACTGTTATTAAATTTAAAATTCTAGGTTCGTCTCTCGATACTGAAATGTAGAAGTTGGTCCAGACCATAAGCTAACTAGTAGCTATAATTGGAGCTCTCTAGAGCCAGTTCCCATGATGAAGGCAGTAGAAAGGATTAGGGAAGCCTAATATCCCTTGAATTTTGAGATGAGAAGAATTTTCAAATAAGACTTACACTAATTGATTTGTAATAATTTTTTTAGAAACCATTCTTTGTGTAAAATGTACGATAAGTCATAAAAAATTTAAAATATAATTTAACATATTTATAAGATATAAAATGTAATTATGATTATAATAATACTTGACTCTCAAAATTTAAAAGATATCACATAAAGATGTCAAGTTTCCAAACAAGTTATCTTAAGGGTTAGTAGGCCGCGTCGATCAAGATCAAGTAGTAGTTTTAACATAATAGCATTTTAGAGAATTAGAGTTGGATAAATTAGCATAAAGATACTCTTAACATAATGTGATATAGTCTATTTTAAATCAGAATCGTGCAATTTTTCATAAAAGGTCTCATACCTTTAAGAGTGTCTCTATATACACCTTAAGTATGATTTCCAAATCTCAATTATCAATGTGAATTTTATTTGCACGCCCAACAATCTCTTCCTTGAACTAATTAAGTTTCATGTGACCCGTAACAATGATCTACATTGTCGCTCCTTGAAATGAGTTCTATGTGACACATTACCATGATCTATGAGACAGTCAATTTTCTAGATTTATTATGTAAGATTTTTAATTTATGAATTTTAATCACAATTATTTTATTTACTGAATTCTGAATATATTATTTATACATATCAAATGACTTTTTTTAACTTAAATACGAAGTTTAAGTCAAAACTATTCAATTCTGCCAAACTCATAACTAAAAAGGTTCGTCTACACTATGTGTCACCCACATAAATGATGTGCATTTATGTCTATTGATGCCCCGATCTAACTTGTATAGTGTTGTGCATCTCCTAGCTAGCTACTTTTGGCATAGTAAAAATAGTAAATCAAGTTTTATGTCATCATTTTGTCGTCTTTATACACGTATTTGGGCTAAAGCCAATCCAAAAAAATATTTTATGATAACACTCATTTTAGACAAGCTTACATAATTTTCTCCAAAAATCTCACTCATTGAAAATATCCCTACATCTAACTAATAATATGTAACTTCTCATTATCTTTCAACTAACCTATATGAGATTCTATTCACATAACCAACAAATAAAAAGTTTTGTAAAATTTTGCTCGTAAAATGAGAATATATGCGTGAAAAAAATAGCGGGACCATATGTAATGCTTCTCTAACTCACTACAGAGGTCATCATATAATTTCCTAAAAATTTCAAATTGTTCTTAAATAGCATTCGTGAAATGCGTTTTATTCATTGTTAGTGATCATCAATGCAGCTATTTGTTTTCTCCCTTAATAGCATTAACTAAACTAGTAAATAACACATGTTTTCTATCATTACACAACAACACCACTTTATTGCATATATTTTCACTACTTTATTAATTTAATTATTCTCACATAAATACACATATCTCAAGCATGGGCTAACCCACAAGAAAAACGTGGAAAGTCGGGTAATTCCTAAATTTTGACTCGTTAATGCGAAAATATTAATTGAAAAACTGCGGGACTATACATAATGCATCCACAACTCATTATAGAGGTCCTCATATAGTTTTTTCAGGAAAAAAAATTCTGGTGCCCAGCGCCAAATCCATGGGTTAATACACACGAAATCGGCGAAAGTCGGGTAATTTCTAAAAAATTTCTTGTAAATGAGAAAATATGAGTGAAAAAAAAAGGTGGGACTATATGTAATGCTTCCCCAACTCATTACGGAGGTCCTCATAAAGTTTTCTCAGAAAAAAATTCAAATTGTTCATAAATCGCATTCGTGAAATGAGTTTTATTCATTGTTAGTGATCTTCTATGCAACTCTTGGTTTTCTCCCTTAATGTCATTAACTAAACTAGTAAATAACATACGTTTTCTATCATTACACAACAACACCACTTTATTGCATTTATTTTTACTATTTTATTAATTTAATTATTCTCACATAAATACACATATCTCAAGCATGGGCTAACACACAAGAAAAATGACGAAAGTCGGGTAATTCCTAAAATATGGCTTGTAAATGCAAAAATATTAACGAAAAAAACTACGGGACTATACATAATGCATCCCCAACTTCTTACAGAGGTCCTCATATAGTTTTTTCAGAAAAATTTCTCGGGTGCCCAAAAGGCGTCAGATCCATTGACTAAAACACACGAAATTGGTAAAAATTGGGTAATTCCTATAATTTTGCTTCTAAATGAGAAAATATGCGTGAAAAAAATGGCAGGACCATATGTAATGCTTCCCCAACTCATTAGGCGGTCCTCATATAGTTTTTTCAGAAAAAAATCAAATTGTTCATAAATCACATTTATGGAATGCGTTTTACTCATTGTTAGTGATCATCAATGCAGCTCTTTGTTTTCTCCCTTAATAGCATTATCTAAAGACTAAACTAGTAAATAACAGATGTTTTCTATCATTACACAACAACTCTACTTTATTGCATGTATTTCCACTACTTTATTACTTTAATTATTCTCACATAAATACACATATCTCAAGCATAGGCTAACACACAAGAAAAAGGGCGAAAATTGGGTGATTCCTAAAATTTGGCTCGTAATGCGAAAATATTAATGAAAAAACTGCGAGACTATACGTAATGCATCCCTAGCTTATTTCAGGGGTCCTCATATAGTTTTTCCAAGAAAAAGATGTGGGTGCCTAAAAAGCACCAGATACATGGGCTAATACACTCGTAATCGTCGAAAGTCCGGTAATTCATAAAAAAATTGCTTCTAAATGAGAAATTATGCGTGAAAAAAATGGCGGGATCATACGTAATGCTTCTCCAACTTATTACGGAGGTCCTTATATACTTTTCTCAGATTTTTTTTTAATTGTTCATAAATCGCATTCTTGAAATGCGTTTGATTCATTAATAGTACTGAGCATCAATGCAACTCTTTGTTTTCTCCCTTAATAGCATTAATTAAACTAAAAAATAACAAACGTTTTCTATCATTACACAACAACGCCACTTTATTGCATATATTTTGACTACTTTGTTAATTCAATTATTCTCACATAAATACACATATCTCAAGCATGGGCTAACACACAAGAAAAATGGTGAAAGTCGAGTAATTCCTAATATTTGGTTCATAAATGTGAAAATATTAATGAAAAAATCTTCGGTACTATACATAATGCATCCTCAACTCATAACAGAGATCCTCATATTGTTTTTTCAGAAGAAAAAAAATCGGGTGCCTAAAAGGCGCCAGATCCATGGGCTAATACACACGAAATTGGCGAAAGTCGGGTAATTCCTAAAATTTTGCTCCTAAATGAGAAAATATGCGTGAAAAAAATGGCGGGACTATATGTAATGCTTGACCCAACTCATAACGGAGGTCCTCATCTAGTTTTCTCCGTAAAAAATTCAAATTGTTCATAATCGTGGAATGTGTTTTATTCATTGTTAGTGATATTCAATGCAACTCTTTGTTTTCTCCCTTAATCGCATTAACTAAATTAGTAAATAACAGATGTTTTCTATCATTACACAACAACTCCACTTTATTGCATATATTTCCACTACTTTATTATTTTAATTATTCTCACATAAATACACATATTTCAAGCATGGGCTAACACACAAGAAAAACAGCGAAAGTGGGGTAATTCCTAAAATTTTGCTCGTAAGTGCGAAAATATAATGAAAAAAAATGTGGGACTATACGCACTACTTTATTATTTTAATTATTCTCACGTAAATACACATATCTCAAGCATGGGCTAACACACAAGAAAAACAACGAAAGTGGGGTAATTCCTAAAATTTTGCTCGTAAGTGCGAAAATATAATGAAAAAAACTGTGGGACTATACGTAATGCATCCTCAATCCATTACAGAAGTCCTCATATTGTTTTTTCAGAAAAAATTTCCAGGTACCCAAAAGGCGCCAAATTCATGGCCTAATACACACGATATTGATGAAAGGCGGGTAATTTCTAAAATTTTGCTCGTAAATGAGAAAATATGTGTGGAAAAAATGGTGGGACTATATGTAATGATTCTCCAACTCATTAAAGAAGTCCTCATATATTTTTCTCAGAAAAAAATCAATTGTTCATAAATCGCATTCGTGGAATGCGTTTTATTCTTTGATAGTGATCATCAATATTGCTCTTTATTTTCTCCCTTAATAGCATTAACTAAACCAGTAAATAACATACATTTTTTATCATTACACAACAACTCCACTTTATTGCATATATTTCCACTACTTTATTAATTTAATTATTTTCACATAAAATCATAAATACACATATCTCAAGCATGGGCTAACACACAAGAAAAACAGTGAAAGTCGGGGAATTCCTAAAATTTAGCTTGTAAATACAAAAATATTAATGTAAAAAACTGCGGGACTATATGTAATACATTCCCAATTCGTTACAGAGCTCCTCATATAGTTTTTTCAGAAAAAACTTCCGGGTGCCCAATAAAAGAGAAAAATATTTAAAATGTAATTATTTATTATTTTGAATGGCATACAGCTAGCTGGTTTGGTGTTTCCTTAGTCACCCATTATAGCTAACACTGTCGACAAAAAACAACAATATTTTCTTACATTTTTAATGTACATCCAATTGTATGTCCACATTTCATCATTAAATAAATGGAGGAATTCCAGGATATAGATTTGTTACAGAAGGTTATGAATAAATTTGATAAGTGTTGCAAGCAATAATGAAATTCTTCCAACATATTTTTAAAATCTTAATTTATAAGAAACATGACTTGCAATATTAAATTGAATGAAAAAGAATCATTCAATTTGCATTAACATCAAATGCAACAGCAGTACAACATTATTAAGAAAAAAATAACTATGCATTTACACTCAATAGATGTTCAAATTTTTCATAGATCAACATTATATCCAACTAGATTTTCACTGTTTATACATATAAAACCTTAGATCTGGAGAACCATTTCATAGTTATTAGCATTTTGGAGATTTCAGGACTGTGCTTTCAGGAAGATCAACAGCTCAACAAAAAGGAAGTTCCATTACTATTATCATCCCACATTAACTACTCTCTATCTACCGGTAAGTTGGTTGGCTATGAAGGTTGACCATAGCAATAGTCCAAAGAATTCACCACGGTCAACAACTCGAACAATGAGATTACACATACTGCTTTAGCATGCTTCAAAAGTACGTCAGCCAGCAAGTGGATTAGCATGAATGGTCACCCGGTTGAGCCTGATCTCGGCAAGGGGTTTATCACCTGGTCCTGTTGGAGTCTGCAAAATTTAGAAAAGAAGTGACTTAGGTGATAGCCAACTACTGTAAAGGGTCTTATAGATCAACATATATACTGAAAACAGAATGTCATGCTATAAAGTCAATATCTCTGTCTGTTTTATAAGTAATAATGCTGAATAAGATCCAAGAATCACCAATGAGCATAGCTGCTAGAAAACGGTAGATTACTCTGCATTCCAAAATGAGCGAGCATCAGTCCGGGCATACCTTTTCCATGAGATCGAGAACCTCAAGTCCATGTATCACTTTCCCGAAGATGGTGTACAATCCATTGAGATGTGGTTGCTTGGCATACGTAATGAAAAACTGGCTCCCATTGGTATTAGGGCCACTGTTGGCCATTGCCAACATCCCTCTTGCATTGTGCTGGATGGAATGCAAAACGCACAAGATTCAGAAAATTAAAAAGAGGTAGTCACTGACAGTTAAGAGTGAAAGAAGACAAATCCAACATGCAAGACATAATGCATCATCGACATAGTGTAGTGCATGTATAATCAGATCCATACTGACTAGTTTGGAATCAATTTAATCAAAGCAAGAGACCCCCATGAAGCAGTTGAGGTGCCAAACGATTGAAAACAAGAAAAAGGGAAACAAGAAATCAGAACGTTTTTTCTTTTTAGAAATAAGAAATTTTATTAATGGCATCACGTAGATGCAAAGAAATAACAAAAAAGTGATGACTACAAAAGATGATGTTAGCTCCAATGCAAGTGAGCCAAATTAATTCTGGGAGCTAACAAAAAAAAAAGCTCAGGGGAACTTACTGGGGAAAGGCAACTATAGAGTAACAAAAGACATCTAACAGTGAGTGCATGATTTGTGAAATTACAGAATATCATTAATCAGACAGCAAAGTTCTTATTTAGTTTTTTAACAACAGAGTATCATCATTAAATAACCATGAAACAAGCACACTTTGCACTTGCAAAGCTAAACAAACTTTTGTAAAAGGTGTAACAGAGGCTACAGCCCATATTACAGAATCTCCTAGGTCTATGGGATCACCAATAATAATGTTCTATATCAAGAACAGATCAAACTTGATACTGTAAAAGGATGATACAGGAAGTTGCTGAATATATTAGACATATATCCATAAGAACAAATGTTGCAACAAGTACCTTGAGAGACTCCCTTATCTCGTCATTGAACTTTTTTCCCCAAATACTTGTCCCACCTTTCCCTGTACCTGTTGGGTCACCACCTTGGATCATGAAACCCTTTATGTTTCTATGAAATATGGTCCCATCATAATAATCACTTGAGCATAACGCCAAGAAATTCTGCAACCAAAGGGCACTTAATGTTACTACCAATGATATCTCAATCGTCCAATTAAAACAAACACCAAATATTACTAGTTTCACCACTCAACCTAATTGAAAAATGACTGCTTCCAGTTAATAATGGAACAAAGTATAAACCAAAAAAAATTAATAATTCTGCAAGCAATCATGGTTTTAAAGGAGCAAGCAAAATATCATGATACGAGAGGACTTTCAAGCTTCAAGGAGAATAATAAGTCTACTTGTACCATGAAGCTTATGCTTTTTTCGGTTATGAAATAATGTTTACCGCTTCATAAGTCCCTCTATGTACCCAAGCATATGGATTAGGAATTGGACATACTACTTCATGCACTTTGTCGCATGGGATTGAACACAGGTATTATACAATGGTATACATTATACACAAGAAATTTGAATTACAAGTTTTTATGTACCTGAATGCAGCATAGGCCTATGGATTAGGAAATAGAAATACTGTATCAGACACTAGGTACTGGGTAGTATGTAAATGAATATAAGTGATGTGCAACAGTACATATATTAGAAATGAGCAACTCAATGTTTTAGACGTTTTTGATGTAGTTCAATATATCTCAACAAAGTCATACTGATATCCTAGCTATTGAGACAGGAACATTAATGTGAGAAAACCCGGTAATAGATTGATCATAGAGATATCCTTCTCAAAAAATGATTGATTACAGAAATATATAATTTTTGTAACTCTCTGCTATAATAGTGACATTAAAAAAAAAAAAAAAAAGCCAATCATGCTAGATAGATCCATAAGCAGAATATACAGCATCCAATAAGAGCAAATAAATTTCTCTGTGCCTGCAAGGGTGTGGGTGTGTATCACAGAATATATCAATCAAGTAAGCATATGCTGCAGGCATCTGATCTAGGCCTGACAAAGAAGTAATCATCATTAGTTGCCTATGTTCCATCATGATTTGTTTCAACTAACTACTAATAAAAAATGCTGTTTCAATTAGTTGAGGTAAGCAAGTTCAGAAATGTAGCTATGATGTTTGTCATTTAATGCTTATGGCATTTTCTCAATTGTAACCTCTCATGTTGAAGATATTATGATCTGTTACTTTGATTTGTGAGTTTACAATCTAGTCTATTTCTATTTTTTATAGACTGATGGAAGGAAGCACTTCTCTTTGTCTTGCGATGAAAAGTTGTAGACATACAAGAAGAAATGGTTTAGGATAGGGGTACCTTGGCTAAGGACCTAGGTCAACTTAGCAATTGTTTGGGGTTAAGCAGCCAGAAGGAATAAATGGATATGCACTTGAAATTCATATTAGGACTAGCCTCAAGGCAATGATAAGGCTAATTTGGCTCAAACTAATACTTCAAGTTGCTACACCTACTGTTTTTGAAAGCCAAGGCTTTGTCTCTTAAACCGATGAATCAATGTGAAGCAATGGGCTATCACCTCATTGATGAAGTGATACAGTTTAGAGGCGTGTGCGCTTCAAATAATGGTACACGGAGTGATCTCAAGGGTAAACAGTCCATCCTTTGAATCTCAACTTCGAGGAGTTTGGATTTAATATCTACATCATAGTAGTTTATTATGTGTTGAAATTAGTTGTTTAATTGAAATTTTATAATTATATATACAAATTCATATATGTTTGGTATCTTTAATTTTTCGTAAATTATGTGCTTCACCCCTTGCTTTTCGCCTCAAACCCATGAATTTCGTCTCTTTTTGTGCTTTTAGCTTTTAAAACCCTGGTCATAACAACCTTTTTAGAGTACAAATGAAGGAGTATATCTTTACAACCTTCCATGGAGCCTGGAGTGCAAAGATCTCATTACTAATTATTTTGCCCTCTTTTTACCCCAAATGAGAAAAACCAAAGATCTAAATCAATTCTTTGCCAAGCACCATAAATAGAAGTTTTAGCATGTGAATGAGGCCTCCTTGAAAAGTCTGATTACAAGGGTTCTCTTAATAAAACTTTACAAGAGCCAACCCCAACGTGTTTGGGATTGAGATGTAGTTGTTGGTTGGATAAATATTTACAAGGGTCTTTCCCACCTTATGTTCTTTATAGTATCTCCTACAATTTGCGATCATCATGAGATAACTGTTTGTTCTTCTGTTCAGATTCTATCCTCAAACCCAAAAGAAAGAAAAGACTCCAGTTTCTATTGATTGCTTTAAACATTTATTAGAAAAGGAACTTTCAATTAGATGAGTTACAATGAAATATCAGCAGGACCATTTTTCTCAATAGCTGAGAAAAAACCCCAACTTGTTTGGGATTGAGATGTAGTTGTCGGTTGGATAAAGATTTACAAGGGCCTTTCCCACCTTCTGTTCCTTATAAGTATCTCCTACAATTTGCGATCATCATGAGATAACTGTTTGTTTTTCTGTTCAGATTCTATCCTCAAACCCAAAAGAAGAAAAGATTCCAGTTTCTATTGATTGCTTCAAACATTTATTAGAAAAGGAACTTTCAATTAGATGAGTATTGAGTAACAATGAAAATATCAACAGGACCATTTTTCTCAATAGCTGAGAAAACAGTTATGCTTGTTTAACGAAAGGGAGATCTTAAGTAGAAACACTTCTTTTTTCTGGAAAGTTGAATTAGTCTACCAACCCATCCTGCTCTAACACAAGCAATTTGCATTTGCAATTTAACAAATTCCCCAAACTCAGCTGCTTATTTGAGATGACATCATGTTTTCTTCCTTTTTTTTTCTTTTGGTTATTTGAGGTAAGATCATTGCATCCACTGTAACTATATCTTTCTATCGCTGTTCCAGAAAACTGTTAGCCTACAGAGGTCGGAGACACATACTCCTTGTGCCTGTTTGGAATAACTATTACTTCAAAGGGATGTAGCAGATAACTCCTCCAGGCTCCTATGCCACTTACCAGATAGACTAAACTATGTTTCCCAGGAAGATGCAATGCTCCAATTTTATCTAATGTACCAGAAAGATAAATTATTTGATACACTTGAACAGGATATATTATGTAGTTGTCCCCCATCCCAATTATGTGATTCACTTTGACAGGGCACAGATTTTAAGAAAGAAAAGAGACTTTTGAAACTCGTGGTTTAAAGCAAGTAGTAGATATTTGTGTGGCTATAAATCGTATCGTCAAGGATAAGATTGGAAGTTTAAAATTAATTGATTTTCAAATATAATTTATCATTCTTTATGGAAGGACTAAAAACAAAGGTTCAGCACATAAATTGGGGCAGCGGGATCATAATCGGTTCTTATGAATTGCACTAATGACAAGTTTTTGAAGGAGGATTGATGCAGCAACAACTGTTAAGCCCATCTTGGTCCATTAAACTTAGAAATGCAAAGTAAGAGAGACTTATAGTCAAACTGGAAGACATTTGGGCTAAATATGGCTTGTCAAAAGGAAAATTTAATTAAAAAGTTTTAGTAACATTTAAGCATGAAGAAGTTCAGCAGGAGAGAAAATGGAAGAACAGTACAGGCATTAAACAAAATATACAGATGAATGGTAAATCCTTCCTTAACAATGAATCAAGACAGCATAAATAAATGTCCACGGCTATTCATAATATAAAGATCTTATAAGATCAACCCTGAGTCCCTGACTGTGTTAAACCTGTTTTCAGATCCCCAACAGAAAAACCTTTGCATTTATATAATAGGGAGGAATAAATGGCTTTGGGGATGTTACATGGATAATAATGATATCTGGAGGAAGCTGATTATTGCTATATATTGTGTGAAGGATGAGTGTAGCCACTATAGATGAATGCTAAAGGGAGACTCTGGAAGGTAAAGATACATTTTGTCTCAGGTAAAAGCTGTTATAGTATACTGTTGAAGAAGATAGGTCATAGGGATAATATTTGGCCTAGGAAGATAATTTGGAAAACAAAAGCTCCAATTATCGTTAGCTTGTTCAGGTGGACTGCAATCTGGCGAGTATGTCTAACTCAAAACTATTTACAGAAGAGGGGGTTTTCTTTGTGCAGTAGATGCTACTTATGTTAAGAAGACCTGGAAACTGCCGCATTTTATTTGTGTCAGGAGCTTATTATGATGCTGGACATCTCAAAGGGTACCCAGAGAGTGAAGCAGATATGGTAGATCACCCCACTGTGCATCTTCTGAACCTTATGGCTGGAGAGAAACAAAGCATGAAGGCCATCAAATTCACATCTCTAGAGCTGGAATTAAATGTTTGCATGATCTGTTTTATTGGTGTAAAAGCAATTTATTAGTTGGTCTAGACCAATACATGGATTTTCTAGAGTTGTTAGGAAGAATAGAGTAGCAACTTGTCTGTTTGGTCATTGTATGAGTCATGTTTTTCTTTTATACCAGCTAGGTAAACTTCCAATAAAATTTTACCTTATAAAAATAATAGTGAAGAAATAATGTAATAATTATTATCAGATGGATGCAACAAATGATTCCTCATTGCTAAATATCCAAACACATATAATGAAGGGAAGAAGCCCATGTGTCTGGAGCTATGCCACTGAAGAATCACTAACATTTGAGGATTACAAAAAATAATGAATTCTCGGTGAGTAAGTAGAGAATACCTAGGGCAGGAGACAACTATCTCAAAGAAATTAGGCAAATGGCCCCCTAATTTCAAAGGACAGGATGCCTACTCACAAACATATCACAGTGACCAGGCTCGGACTACTTTTTACCAAAAATACACACCCTCTCAAAGTCCTAAGACCATGTATGAGAAGGGCAGAAGCCCGCACAGTGCTCAAAGAACAAAATAAGTTGGTGACTTGATGATAGGGGAGCAGGCGAACAAAGCCCCCAAGAAAACTCTTTCTACTAGAACAAGCACGGGAATTAAAACTATTATCAAACGCGTCGATCAAAGGATTTTACCTCTGCTGGACCTAGCTGTAAAGTGGGAACCATAAAAGGTTAAGGCCAAAACTACCACCCTATTCCACCAAATTGAAAGAAGAACAAAACTATCAAATTGCAAACAAAGTTCTTAACTTTTTGCAACCAATTTCAGGCAAACATAGAAACAAACAGCTAATGAACCCCCACCCAACCCCGCCCCACCCCTCCAGCCAGAGCTAGAGTGCCGCAAGGGGGTTCAAATCACCTTACTCAAAATATTACAACATGTGTACACTGTCAAAATCATTTTTTATATATAATAGATGTTTAACCACCTTGAATTCTTATTATATTTCGTTCTTTATATTTTGAATCCCCTTAGTGCAAATACTGGTTCTGTCACCCCCTCAAACGCCAAGAGTGAGTTCTCGGAGGGTAAAGACCCACCCAAGAATTGTTAATGTCTTTCAGAATTAGAATAACTAGTCACACTCTATGTCTACAATAGCCAGATTCTTCGAAACCCTTCTTAGAGAAAAAGTGAAAAAGGAGACAAGAATTCAACTTTAGTTTACTTACAATAAAATTAATATCATAAAAAACCAAACTTTAAAAGAAAATTAAGAACCTCTGCAGTTCTTGGTACTTCATCACAGAAGATTTCGCACTTGATGTCACCTAGATTTGTATGAAGTGTCACTGACTGCAAAAACACCAAACATTTGCTAAAATTTAGTGATTTCAATAACAATAATAAAACACAAAAAATATCGCAAAAACATGAAAAACTCACCATGTTTTGCTGCTTGTGTATTCAGATTACTGGAGCTGACAGGGAGCTGTTCTCTGCTTTAATAGAAAGAAAAAAAAAGAAGCAAAAATTGACCCGAAATTTGACCTGACCCACCCTTTTTCTCAATTAGTCTTTCGGGTTTTTCTTTTTACCCCTTCCACCCAATCCTATATAAAAACCCTAATAACCTAAAACAGAGTAAAAAAAAAAAAGTTGCCGCCTCTTCACAATTACCTTTTCCCGCGTTTTTTCTCACTTCTTCTTCCTTTCCAACTATCAATGGAGGACAAGATAACAATAGCAGTTGATTGTTCCGGTGAATGGGTTGAGTCTAATTATCGTTACATTTGGCGTTGGAAAAAACAAAGAAACTGCACATACGATAGCGATGCATTTGGATCGAGATGTCATTTATGAAGATTTTGTAAGCAAAATCATTTCAGATTGTAAACTAAATTGAGAACCGAAAGATCTTGTCATCAGTTTGATGTATCGTTGCTTTGAAGGCCAACAAGCGCTTCCTTTTAGGATAAGTGATCAAAGCAGTTTGAGTACAACATGGAGATAGAGCAGTTTTAAGGGTATATATAGGTGAAAGATGGATCGAGAATCGTCAAGATCACGATGAATGTGATTGGGTGAATATGGATATTTCAGACAAAGAAAGTGCATGTGAAGTGTATTCTTCTTCTGATTCTATTTCTACTTCTGAAATTGTCACTTATACATTGAAAACTGCGTATATGATGAAACGGATTTGATGGGAAGAGGAGGAGCTAAGAAGAGACGAAAAGAAATGGGAGAATCATTTCCAACAAGAAAATATAAGTGTTCAATATGCAAGGAGGTTGGGCACTATAGAACAACATGCTCGAAGCAAAATGCTCCATAGTACTTATCGTCATTATTAAAAATAAATTATTATCTTAATTGTGTAAGATCACCACTAATTGCTTGTCTAGGTACTATAATATATCAAAATATTTTATTTATCATTTAATATGATTGATGTAATCAGATTATTTAATTAAGATTGACAATACATGTAACTACTATGTAATTGTATAGGATCATTACTAAAATCAAATCTTTAATCATTTTTTTAATATATTTTAAGTTTTGATTTATTTACTGTACTTTTACATAATTTTAAATATTTAAATTTTACTTTTTAACAAAATTAAAGTTGATATATCTAATTTTACGATCCAAATTTCAATCGTTAAGACTTTGAAGAAGAAGAAAAAAAAGTAAAGTTGAGAGTTGAGGCGTCTCTTTTTCTTTTTTTTTCTTTTTTTTTTTTATTTTTTTAGTTGAGGCGTCTCAAAATCAATCTTTTGGCTTTTAAGTTTTAAAGGATGTTTAGCAAAGTGCAAATATAATCATTTTAGGGCCCTAATTTAAAAATAACCAAAATTTGGATGATATTTAAAGTTTAATCAGTTCATAAGTAATGAGTTTTTAATTATCGATAATATATAAGAAAATAATATATACCGAAAGTTTAAATATAAAGTATTATTTAAATTTGTATTATCTTTCGAAAACTCTTGTTTTAATCTGAGATTCTTCTAAAGTAATCTGATTTTTAACACTTTTATTCACAAAACTTAATTTTTTTCTCAAATAAAATGCATGTTCATATTTCAAAAACTTAAATTTATCAAACTTCCAGAGATTGAGCAATTATTCCACGGTGTTCAAAACGGACAAATACAAAATTATATGATTTGTCCTCGTTAACATAAACCTACTCCACTGGCACTAGCCTAACGCTTGCTTACTTGTCTCTATAAAATCTATGATTAAATGGAAGCTCGGTAACTTAATCATGTAATCTTTAAACATTAGATGAAGTATCGAAATGCCCTTATTTGTATCATAAATCACAAAATTGCCACTAAATTACTCCCTTTAACTGCCATAACAAACAGACTATCAGCAAAAAACTTCTGAAAATGAACAAGGCAATCCCCGTTTTTTCCTTACATGTAATTATAACCCTATCCATACCCTTTTTCGTCTTTTCACTCCGAACCGGACTACCACGCCTTTCCGACCCATGCAATCGGCCGCCGGCGGATCTCCGATCACTCCAAACCGATCAAACGACGGTACTAATCAACGGCTACTCCGAACGCCGGATTCCACTTCTCCACTCAATCGCTGCCACTTACGCCGCCGCATCCTCCGTAGCCGCCGTCATCATCCTCTGGAGCAACCCTTCAACTCCGCCACAAATCCTCTCAGATCTCTCCCAAAACCTCTCCCTCTCCTCCTCCTCCACCACACCAATCACCATCCACCGTCAACCTTCCTCTAGCCTCAACCTCCGTTTCCACCCTCACACATCCATCACCACCCGATCCGTCCTCATCTGCGACGACGATATCGAACCGGACACAAACTCAATAAACTTCGCTTTCAACATCTGGAAATCCAACCCAGATCGCTTAATCGGATTCTTCGTCAGATCTCATAACTACGACTTAACACATAAATCCTGGATCTACACAATGGAAACCCAGAAATACTCAATCATGTTAACAAAATTCATGATCTTAAACTTCCATTACCTCCATCAATACACATGCAACAAAGAATACTCGAAACTGAGACTAATAGTAGACGAAAAGAACAACTGTGAAGACATATTGATGAACTTTGTGATAGCGGAGCAAGTGAAAAAGGGTCCGATGTTGGTGGGTGCGAAGAAAGTGAGGGATTGGGGAGATGCAAGGAATGAAGGTGAAGGTATGAAGGAAAGGGAAGTGGGTTTGAGTAGTAGAAAAGGAGAGCATAGGAAGAGAAGAGGAGAGTGTATTGGTGAGTTTCATAGGTTATTGGAGAAGATGCCATTGAAGTATAGCTATGGAAAAGTGATGGAAGCCATTGGAGAACAAGGTTTATGTGAAAAAGGTGGCAAGTTGGTGTATTGTGATAAACAAATTTTTAGATGAAATTATGAGAATTTTCCTAATTTTTCTTTTATTTTATATGTTTTTTGTATAATTCAAAAAAAAAAAAAAAAAAAGTTCGTGTGAAAAACTAAATTTGGAGAAGAAACCATATCATAGAAAAATATATAAGTAAAGAAGATATAACAAATAATAGGAGATATATTACATAATATTATTTTAAAAAGATAGTAATAACAATAAAATAATGTAATAATACAAAACATAAGAAATACTATGTAATAGAAATCGAAAGACAAATACTAGAATAGTGCAAATACGGTTAGTAGGAGTGTTCACGGGTTGGTTTGGATCGGTTATTGGTCAAAACCAAAACCAAACCAACTTAATCGGTTTTAAAATTATCAAAACCAAACCAAACCAAATATAATATACATTTATTGGTTTGGTGATTATCGGTTTCGGTTTGGTTTGGTTCGGTTATTCGGTTATTAACCATACACAAAAATAAAATAAACAATTCATTTAAAATGTGAAAAAAGTGACAACAATCCATTCAAACGAAAAAATAGTTAAAATGACTGACATTACAAAACTTTGGATCATTGAGTTTACTGAATAAAACTTCAAAATTCACTATTTTGGCATAGAAGGAAGAGACAATGACATTTTTAGTCCCACA